GGGGGGGGGTCTGGGGAATGGGCGGGGCTTGCGCAGGGGGCGGGGCCTGGGCGCGCTCGCGGCGCCGGTTCTGATCCCGGCGCCGGTTCTGATCCCGGCGCCGGTTCCGATCCCGGTCCCGTCTCGCCCGCAGGTTTCGAGAAGCCGTCGGCCATCCAGCAACGGGCCATCAAGCAGATCATCAAAGGGCGGGACGTGATCGCACAGTAAGTGGCGCCAGCCTGGAAACGTTCGGTATCCAGTGTGGTTGGTTTTTTTGTTTTTCCGCCTAAAAAAGAACTCCAAAAAAGGAAAAAACACCAGGAGAAGGCAGTTCTGCAGCCTGCACGGCTGCTGCCCGCCCGCAGGAGCTGCTGGCTCCCGCTGCTCCAGGACGGGGGTCAGAGATCTCAGGGTGTTTCTGAGCCCCCTGAATCACGGTGGGAGCGACGGGTGCCAGGGCAGTGGGTGCAGGGGGTGCTCGCACCCCGCAGCCGAACGGGCGGCGTTCAAGGTGCGTCGCTGCGGTGGATGTTCAGCCAAGATGCCCTGCGTCAGAAATCTCGGGGGTCCCGGCGCTCCTGGCAGTGTTTTCCAGCAAAACTAGGGAGTGACAGAGACGCCTGCGGCCTCCGTCGAGGGAAAGGAAGCAAGTTTTGTCCCTAGAGACAAAGAGTACGGAGATGAGGTTTAAAAAAATACCCTTTCTAGGTCACCGGTGGAAATTCATGGCTTAGTGAATTGTATTAGCATCTCTGCAATACAATGTCCTGAAATCTATCATGAGCAATAATGGCAGAGACAAAAGTTGCCTTTGGGCAGGGAGGTGCACGATAATACATTGAAATTGCCTGTACTGCCTGTTCGGGAAAAAGAAAAACTATGTATATTTACCAAAAATCTCTTTCTCAGATCACAGTCTGGAACGGGGAAGACAGCAACGTTCTCCATCTCTGTCCTGCAGTGCCTGGACATACAGGTGATTTCACAGCATCTTTACTATGGGCAGTGACCTTCAGGGCCAAAATTCTGACTGAAATTTTCATCGGGCTCTGTTTTTGTAAGGATTTAACTGTTATGCCCACCTTGACAGAATAAAAAAATCAGGTAAAACCTTGAAATTATAGAGCTACCTTCTAACAGCAGCCTTTTTCAGATGCTTCTAGTGACAGCATTAGAGGGCTGAGTTAATCTTCTAACAGATAGTTCTCTTCAAACAGTCCTAACATCATTAACCTCTCCATGTTCCGCAGATCAAATCTAGGTTTTTGGCTGACAAACGTTCATTTTTATTCTAACGCGGGGTAATTTGTTCACCCAAATGCTTTTGAAGTATAGCTTGGATGTATAGATGCTCGTGAACATAAGCATGATTTTCTGTGGGCTGGTGGTCCCTTAAATTAAGCTGGGATTGTCATTTCCTTGGGGTTGCCTGAGTACATGAAATACAAACTCTCTGAGTGGAAAGGTCAGCTTTTTACCTCATTTCTGCAAAGTACTCCTTGCATTTTGCAAGCATGATGCTTTAAAACGTTGTCTGGGAATCCTTGAACAATGGAAAGCTTTTGTCAGGCTTGAAAACGTGAAAATTTTCATTGAAATCATTTGAAACTGCCTTTCTGCTCTTTTGTGAGAAAAAAAGGAACATACAGATATTTTCAGAAATGAGGTTAGAACGTTAATGAGCTGGTGAAATTAAAGAACTGCGTTAGGGGCTGCCTGTCAAAAGTGACTTACCCCAGAGGCCGTTGCTGGGTAAATGCCTAGTGTGGAAGCGACTTTATAGGTGAACAGACCCTTGCAGGTGGTGGGTTTTAGTGCAGAACTCTGCAGTTAACCCCCAAATGTGATCCCCGGGAGGGCTGTGGGATCTGCCGTCGCTGCTGAGCTTGCTCAGCCACGTGAATAATCATAATTAATGTGTTTTAATCAGGTTCGCGAGACCCAGGCGCTGATCCTGGCTCCAACGCGGGAGCTGGCTGTGCAGATTCAGAAGGTAGGAGCCTTGAAAAGTAACTTAGATCTGGGCTTTGCAAAGCACCGCTGAGACCTGGGCTCGGTCTCCAGCCACTCCTGGCCCAGCAGGAGCCTCCACTAGAGGGAGGCCCCTCCTTTCCGAGCTCCCAGCACTGGAAACTCTCTGAGGACATCTGGGAACCCTCAGAAGGTCCCTCTTTCTCCTGCTCGCACCCAGTTTCCTCTGTGGCCGCACAGACCCGCACCTCCTTGCGAGTGGATCAAGCTCACGAGGTGTCAGGTAGCGGAGCCGGCGTCGTGTGTCCCAACAGGGTCTGCTGGCGCTGGGCGACTACATGAACGTGCAGTGCCACGCGTGCATCGGGGGCACCAACGTCGGGGAGGACATCCGCAAGCTGGACTACGGGCAGCACGTGGTGGCCGGCACGCCGGGCCGCGTCTTCGGTAAGGACCCCTGCACACACCGTGCGCTCGGCCTGCCAGGGAATTCACAGCTCTGGAACTTAACTGCTGTAAAAACTACGTTTGTCTTGGCACGGGAGCCGGGTCCCTTTGACTGTCTCGCATTAGGTCTGTGTTTTCCGTGTGCTGGCAAACGCTGTCTTTGTTTAAACCAGGTTTAAACAGGCTGCTTTGTGCTGTGCCTGTGTGAGGATGGTGGTGGTTTGTGGGAG